AGGAACAGCTGATGTGGCTCTGAGTCTCTGCAGGCTCCTCCTAACCTGCCTGCTCCCTCTGGGAACTCTGCAGGATTTCTCCCAGTGGGGAACAAAAAATGATTCCAAAGCTCTGTGCGGAGAGCTGAGTTTGGAGATCAGGAGAATGTGAAGCTCTGGGGGTGGGTGGGTGGGCTGAGGGGGGGGTGAATGCTGTGGGCAGGAGCAGCTGTTTGGGGTCAGCGCCGGGGGCTGAGCTGGGTGGGCTCTGAGGGGGCGGTTTTTGCTGCACGGTGTCCAAACGCCGTGGGAATGAGCAGACTGCACCTGACCAATGAATGTCACCGATGTAACAACCACAATAAATCAGGACTGAACGTACAGAGCGGATCTTTTCCTCCCCTCTCCCCTCACAGGACTGTTCCTGTGCTGTTTGTGGGGGTGTGCTGGGGCTGTGAGCTGCCACCAGGTGTTTGCCCTTCAGAATCACAGAATCACACCCTGCTTTGGGTTGGAAGGGTCTTAAAGGCCATCTGATCCACCCCCGAGTCCTTTTTATGACAGAAGCAGTTTCTTCCACCCAGCCCCGACCTGGAGGCTCAGCTGAGAGAAGGGACTGATGCAATAACCCGAGGGGTTCCTCTTTATTCCTTATTGGAATCGTGTGCAACAGTGCTGCTCCCTGGGGATGGGAACAGCCTGGGCCAGGGGAGAGGGGCTGGGTGGGGTTTAGAATCGGTGTGGCCCCACAGGAACCTGAGAAGGTTCATTCATCCCAGAGGGATCCCAGAAGCTGAGAGGGTTCATCCCAGAGGGATCCCAGAAGCTGAGAAGGTCCCAGTGCAGCTGCTGAATCAGCGAGAGGGGGAGTTCTCCAGCCTGGGCTGGGCTATGGGGCAGTGCAGGGTCCCTCTCCTGCTTCCCTCCCATCTCCCTGTGCTGGACAAGGAGCTGGGAGCTGCTTCCAGCAGCTCCCAGCTCCTTGTCCAGCACAGGGAGATGGTTCTCTGCACTTTCCCATGTCCTGGCCAGCCTGTCCCTTCTGGGGGATCCTCTGGCACCCGGGATTCGCTGTCCTGGACAGCACCAGCAAATCCTCCTGTCGCCCGGCAGAGGGGGCCGAGTCCTTGTTGGATGATTTTCTTTCCTAATTAGATTCGTGCTTTTCGTCTTGCAACTGCGCGAGGTCCAGAAGGAGGGAGGGGGAGCAGCCCTGGGAAGGTGGGAGCAGGCCCAGCAGGCTGCTCCTTCCCCTCCTTTTTGGACCCCGCATAGTTTAGGGAGAGCGGGAGGAGTTTCGGGAAGGTGCGAGCAGCCCGGTGCGCTCCCAAACCTGGTGTCCGCGGCAATCCCTTAATTCCATTTACACCTCCCGCAGCAATCCGCTTAAGGGGAAGCCGTGGAGCGGCTGAGAAGGGACGAGGCAGGGCTTAAATACACCTTGGCTTTATCCTGAGGTGGGGGGGAGACAGCGCGGGGCTCTCGGGTTCTGCCCCAAGGCTGGGAGAGCTGGAGAAAGGAAGGCTCTGGGGAGACCTGAGAGATCCTTCCAGAGCCTGCAGGGGCTCCAGGAGAGCTGCAGAGGGACTGGGGACAAGGAATGGAGGGACAGGACACAGGGAATGGCTTCCACTGCCAGAGGGCAGGGACAGATGGGAGATTGGGAAGGAATTGCTGGCTGGGAGGGTGGGCAGGCCCTGGCACAGGTTGCCCAGAGAAGCTGTGGCTGCCCCTGGATCCCTGGCAGTGTCCCAGGCCAGGCTGGAGTAACCTGGGCTAGTGGAAGGTGTCCCTGCCCATGGAACGAGATGGTCTTTAAGGACCCTCCCCCCCTAAACCACCCTGTCACTGTAGGAATCCATCTGTGCCCGCTGCCCTCCAGCCCCATCCCCTGCTCCACCTTCATCCTCACCGTGTCCAGCAGGAAGGAAAGACAAACACACACCAGTAAAAGGCATGGAAAATTTTATTCTTTACTGATCTTTAATAGTTTTTTTGTTTGTTTGTTTGGTTGGTTGGTTTAAACACAATAAATATTTCAGTAATAGCATTGAACAGACCGGAATTCACACCCACTGCAGTACCTGAACCCCCCGAGTCCAGACCCGGGGGAAGCCATGGGGGGTTTGCCAGGGACACGCCCCAAGGGACAGGGGCAGGGCAGTGTCCCTGCTGGGAGATGATGGGGAGGGAGGGGGTGGGTTTTGAAGTCTCCAGCCCAAAGCACAGCCCCAGCTCTGACCAAATGAGCGACACTTGGGGGGTGAGCAGCGAATTCCTGAGAACCTCCACTCCTGGGGCAGGGACAGCCCGGCCGCTCCCCTGGAGCCCAGAGAGCTCCAAAGCCGGCTCTGACCACACCTGGATGGGCCAGAGGGTCTTTACACACCCACAGGGACCTTCCCTACACAAGCAGAGAGCTCCCGTCGGCACCAGCAATAATTTGGGTTGGAAAAACCCCTCAGAGTCCACCCAGCCCAGCTGTTCCCCCAGCACTGCCCAGGCCACCGCTGGCCCTGTCCCCAAGTGCCACATCCACGGGGATTTTAAATCCCTGCAGGGATGGGACTCCCCCTCCCTGCCCTGGGCAGCTGTGCCAGGGCTGCACAGCCCCTTC